TGTACCCCAGACACCTGGCAAGAGATGGAGGACAATTCGGGCCAGGATGTAGGTTCCCTCTGGCTTCCTGGGTGTGTGGGGAAGGCATCCTTGGATCATGACCCTCTGAGAGCCTAGTTCACAGTGCATTCTGAGCTCAACAGGTTGGTTTCTGTAATAACCACCCCCACCCTAACTGTAATAGGACATAATGATGCCAGCCTGAAGTTTGACTTAATTAATCTATGAATAGTGATTTCTTCCCTTCCCTGACTTTTGAATAGCAAGTCATAATTCATGGAATATGTTTTCATGCTTAAAAACAGTCCTGTGGAGTAGGCAAGGCAGGCGATATTACATTTTTTTATAGAGAAGATAAAGGAAGCCCAGAAAGTTTAAGTGATCAGCCTTAAATCACTCTGTGTGATTTTGACTTATAACAAGAATCTAAGTTCAAATACCAAATTGCTTCTCCACTGACATTCCATCTTTGATCAATTGGCAATGGCTGCCTCAAACGCTGTGTGGAGAAGTCTGTGTATAAGCTTTGTAGGAAGAAGATCTGTGATTGATTAATGATGTCTGCCACAGCCATAGAAACAAAGTATAGACATGTACCACAAACAGACCACTCTTATCTGAATCTTTTCTAATCCCTGACCAGTGCCTTTTCCACTGGAATATGCTGACTCTACAACACATTTTCTTTAGGATCCGCAGGGAAATCAAGTATCATGATAAGACAAAGTCATACGTGTTGTGTTCATAATCTTGGTTAAATTTAAAGATACAAACACATTATGATTTTCTGACGAGTTCAGCTGTTTCATGTTTAGCTCATTGGTATAAACTCCCCCAAAAGAACTTCCAGAGATACGAGCATCAACATACAAAGATAAACAAGATGAAAAAAAAACCACATTTTTTTAGAACTTTGAGAGAGGATCTGTTTCCTGCGCTGAGCACATGGTGAAAACACAGCTCACAGAAGAAATACAGGCTAAGTGGAGTGATTTAAACTTTCTTCCCTTCACGAAGTGCTTTCTGCTGAAATTGCTTTTCTGTAAATTCACTGAAGCCACTTGCTGGCCCTTTTATTAGACTGGAAGGATTTAGGTATTTCAACTTTCATTGACGAATCCACTTCAGGAAATGAAACCCTTATTTGATTTGTTTGAAGAGAATGACTCATAGATTTTTTTTTTACCTGAAAGAGCCCTTTCAAAATCATCTAGTTCAATGCCTTTAGTTTATAGATGGGAAATTGAGTTAATGGATTTGCTCAAGGCCACAGGGTGACTCACAGCAGAGCCCAAAGCAGGACCTGGCTCTCAGGACTCCCAATATAGTGTCCTCTTCCTGACAACTGGGTTGCTGATCCCTAACTCCAGTCCATGAGTGGGCTTCCCATGAATGGTAAATGTCCCCATTTGACACTGCTCAGTGACTTCCAAGAGTCTTCTGGTTATGACCATCCGTGAATGAACCAACAATAACCACGAAGCCAAGCTTTAGCCATGAAGGCTTTACGGAGCACACTGACCTTCTTGGCTGAGGCATAAGACACGGAGGAGGGCTTCAAGGCTTGTTCCTAAAATTACGTAAGAGCTACAAGATTGAGTCCCTGAATCGGAGTCCCAAGAAGGAAATATTTAACTATGGATTTGCATGCTACCTAATCCACGGCACAGACCTTAAAAAAAAAGGATATGATGAACCCACTGAATGTGTGGTTAAAGATAACAGTGTTTCCAATCCCTACAGAATGTAGATTCAAAGTCCTGCAATGGGAGAGCAGTGATGAGCGGGCTGTGAGAAGCCCTGGGCAGTGTGTTCACTGGACGCCTGATTCCCAGGTCCTCTGAGATACTGACCGGGAGCTGGAGCTGTGGCCAGTCTTCAAAGCTGCCATGTCCAGTGGGATGTGTAGGGGGGAGGGAACAAGTGCAGAAATGGAAGACTAACCCTTTTCTTTGCTTCTCTGAATGGTGATCCTAAAATTATACTACCTCCCAGAAGATGGACCCTGCAGAACTGAACTGATGACCCACTTTTCAATTTTATCAAGCAGCAGATACATCAATTAATGCTGCTAGGCTCCAGGGTTTGGTAGTAAGGCTGAAATTAGATTTATAGATTACCTGCCTCCACGCCGCGCGGGGAGCAGAGACGCTGCATTTCCCTCCCCTCCTGGCGCTGCCTGCTCCGGCCGCCCCTTCCTGCCAGCCTTTCCTTCCCTGTGTGCCTCTCTTGCCCTCAGCTTTTCCCCTACTGCCTGGGCCACATCATCATGAAAAACACTGCCGTCCAGGCCGCCCCCTGGTCCTGCCTCCTCTCCCCCACATAGAAATCGGCCCGTGCAGAGCAGCGGTGTGCCGGGTTTGGACTTTCTGTTGGCTCCTGAGAACGAATCTTCATGTTCCCTCGCATGTTCTGGGGAGAAAGTCTGATCACAGTTCCCAGGTCATGTCGTGTGGCTCTGTGAAGCACAGACAGGTGACTCGTAGGAAATAAATGCTTTCTGAAAGGGTCTGGATGCTGGTTCAAGAAAAGCCTTTTTTGGCTAACATGGCCTTCTATTCACTTCTCGCTGGCTGTCTTCATGACACCCTTGCTCACAAAGGAGTGCCCACAGGAAAGCATGGTCCGTGCCCTGCCCTGACAAGAGAGGGCTGGCCACAAGGACCACGTACACTCAGGACACTCCAGCTCTCCTGCCACACATGCCCACATGCTTCTGCTCCAGAAATGGTCTTGTATGCTCTTCATTCAGCTCGTATTTACCAGGTGCTCACTGTGCCAGGTGCTGGGGTCTCAAAATACAAAGCATAACCCATACCTTCAAGGAAGTTGTACCAGGCAACACACGTGGGCCCCACAATTCACATCAGTCACCCTCCAGCCTGAAAAACAAAACCCACTACTGCTCGACAACCCAGACGAGGCGTTAAGTGTGTGCTCCCTGCCGCAAAGGTAGCTTCAGTGTGTGCAAATGCAGCTTCGAGACAAGTTCTCTGCCACCCTTCCACACTGCAGCCCCTAAGCACTGCTGCTGAGCGTGGGAGCCACCACGCGGCTGTGCACTGACGAATGAACAGGCCACGCTGACCGTGACCTCTGAACACCCAGTCCCGCCTACCTGCCCATTCCTGACCCAATGGGCAAATTCCTCTTTCTCCAACATCAGAGAAATTCTCTCTCTCTCTCCCCCTTGAAGCCTTCCCTGATTTCCTCGGGAAGATTTCAGTTCTCTATGTGATACTTTGTACTCCAGGCACAAAGACAAAGCATATCATCAAGGCGGAGGATTTCTGGGAGCTTTGGGCACTAAGGCCGGTGAGGGGGGGAGGGACCCCTGCGTAGGTTGTATTCTCGAAGATGGGCATGACAGAACCCCCATGCCTTATGTTTATGAAGCCCTCAGGCTGCCGCCCTCCATCAAAATGGGGGACATGTTTTTTTCCCCCTGAATCTAGGCGGCCCATCACTGGGGCTGAGGGGTGCTGTGCAACTTTTCTGGCTGGGTTACAACACGGATACAGCTTCTGCCTTCCGTTCTCAGGATGCATTCTTGGGACCCAGTTTGCTGTGGGGAAGCCCTAGCAGGTCAGATGGAGAGGTGCCAACGTCAACTACGAGACAGATGAGTGAACGAGCCTTCAGACAATCCCAGGTCTGAGCCCCTGAGCTGCCCCTGCTGACAACACATAGAACAGAGGTATCCCGCTGAGCCCTGCCCAATCTGCAGGCTTACAAGCAAAAGAGATCGTTGTGAGCCAAGCCCCTGAAGTCTTGGGCTGATGTGTCCCACAGCACTAGAGCCACGTCTCTTTCCTCTCTTACAGGCCCGGTTCCCAGCACAGGGCATGACCAGAGCAGCCACCTCATGAACGTTTCACTGACTGACTCTGCGAAGGGCCCTTCGATCTGCAGCCACAGCTACTATTTGATGGCACTGGTGACAGCCACAGCCTGCTCCTTGGTATTACCCTGAAGCCTTGCTCAGAATGCCCTGTCCCATTCTTTGATGCCGCCCCCTGGACCCTGTGCTCCCAGGATGCCCAGAAGTCCCCAGCTGAGCCTCTGGTCCCAGTGAGGCAGGCCTTGGTCCCCCCACTATGGTAAGAGACCGTCCACTCCCGCACACGAGCATCACGCTCATCATCGCTCAGCCCCTCTCCGAGTAGCTCTGGGATGCCCCACAGGAATGAAAGTGCTTCCGCTGTGGCTGCCTTTGGGCACGCCCTGGTAATGGTCTTTTATCGATCTCCTGACCAGAAGCCTTCAGGGACCCCCACCTCTGGCTGGTTAGGAGCTATAGCTCCGTAACAGCCCAAGAAAAGACTTGTGGAAGCGTGTGACATAGTCTTCCCTTGAGCTGCCCAGAAGTGTCTCCTCAGAGGCCAGGTGGCCCAGGCATCAGAAAAGGGCAACTTGTTCTATCTCTGAACCCTCCTCTGAATGACGAGAGTGGGCTGGGAGGGCAGCTGCGCTGGGGAAAAGGCAGAGAAGGCCACCGGCGTCTGCGTGAATCACGCAGGACGGTACAGCTGCTCAAAGTCTTGTCTCCGTGATCCATGCAGATGCCAATGGCCATTCTCCGTCCTCCTCCATTCATCCCTGCTGGTCCAGCAAGCAGTGACCCAGGCCCTGCTCTGCCGTCCTCCTGCCGAGGGGCCCGCACGCTCTGCTTTGTTCTTTCCTTTTAGCAACAAATGTGTTCACCTCGCTAACATCTCCAACGCCTGCCCGCATTTCATCAGGGGTTCCTGAGCAATAGGCTGTCTTCACGCAGACGCTTCTCCCCAATCCAGCCACCGTCCTCCACCATCCACTGCACCAGCATCACCCATGCCCCTGAGCTGCCCTTACCCTGAGGAAAGAATCCAAAGCGCCATTCTCCATGAACTCCGTGATGATCATGACCGGCCGACTCTTGGTGACCACGCCCTCCAGGCGAATGATGTTGGGGTGGTCGAACTGGCCCATGATGCTGGCCTCGCTCAGAAAGTCCCGACGCTGCTTTTCCGAGTACCCGGCCTTTAGCGTCTTGATGGCCACATAGATTTCCCTCTTGCCCGGAAGTTTCAAACGCCCCTTGTACACCTCTCCAAACTCTCCTGCAACAAGAAGGCAATCATTACCCGCTTCCTTCTCAGTTTGGGGGACCACCAGGGGAAGCGGCTTATCAAGAACAATGATGCTCCCCCAAAACAGACTCACGGACAGAGAAAACAAACTATGATTACCAAAGGGGAAAGGGTGGGAGGGATAAATTAGGCTTTGGGGATTTACAGACACATGCTGCTATATATAAAATAGATACAAAAACACGGACCTACTGTATAGCACAGGGAACTATATTCAATTTCTT